TTTTTTTTTTTTTTTTTTTTTGCAAAATGCAACTATCAAGATTCAAACTCAAGACCTTTGTAATAGAAGACCAATGTATTAATCGTTGTACTATCACATCTTATTAGTTTTTTTTTGATAACTTATTTATATAAAACAAACACTCATATTTCTTTTTTCCATTTTTCTTATAAAATCTCATCCTCTCATAGTTTTTTTTTTTAATTTTCAACTCTCTCTCTCTCTCTCTATTCTCTTTTCTTTTGTCACTCCCTTTTTAATCAAACCTCTTTATTTTTAATTTATTGATGTTTTCTCCCATCTTTTAATTTTGTTTTTGTCCATTAAATTGAAAAAAGTTAAAAAAATAATTTTTTAACCCAAATTATTTAATGCCACAACCAGTCACTTTTATCTCATTTTTTGTTTCTTATCAAATTTACATTTCTATTTTCGATTTTCTTGACTTCCTTCGAACTCCAAACTTTCTTTTTTAAATTGCAATCTCTAAATCCCAAAACGTAAATTAAAATTTATGTTCACAATATCTAAATTCTCATAGACGTGAATTTTGTATAATTTCAAAATATTGTGATATTTTTGGGTTGGATTTAGATATAATTGAAATTGAGATGAAATTTATTTGTTTTAACTTATAATTTAAAAAATTTATTTTTAAAAATCCAAGTTATTAAAAAATAGTAAACTTTTCGTCATATAAAGTATTAAATTAGTGCATTACATGTCTTATTTTGTATATATATATATATTTATATAAATTATTTTTAAAAAAATTCATTGAACTGAGGTTGAACTGGTCCGACCGGTTGAATTTCGACCCTTTCACTTCATCGGTTCAATTAATGGTCCGATTTTTAAAACATTGGATGGGACAAAAGTTGCTGTTAAAAGAAGTGAACCAGGATGAACGCAGGGCCTTCTAGAATTCCAAACTGAGATAATGGTCTTGGCCAAAATTCACCACCGCCATCTGGTTTCTTTGATTGGATACTGCGATGAAAGATCAGAGATGGTACTAGTTTTTGAGTAACATGGAGAAGGGGACTCTGAGAGACCATCTGTGCACTCCTAGGGAAGAATTCGGGAAATCAACTTCAATATCTGGATTATCTTGGAATAGAAGGTTTCAATTGTGCATTGATGCAGCAAAAGGTCTACACTACCTTCATACAGGTCTAGGTGGTTCAATTATTCACAGGGATGTGAAGTCAACAAATATTCTGCTAGATGAGCATTATGTGGCTAAAGTTGCCGATTTTGGTATTTCAAGATTAGGTCCTCTTGATCAAACCCATGTTAGTACAGAGGTGAAAGGCAGCTTTGGTTATCTTGACCCTGAGTACTTTAGATGCCTTCAATTAACTCAAAAATCTGATGTGTACTCTTTTGGAGTTGTACTTCTTGAAGTGCTTTGTGCAAGGCCAGCCATTGACAACTCGCTTCCCAGGCAGCAAGTAAACCTGGCTAACTGGGGAATGTCTTGTCTAATAGAAGGAGAACTCCACAAAATCATTGATCCTTTACTTGTTGGTAAGATTAACTCGAATTCATTGAGCAAATATGGGGAAACTGTTGAGAAGTGTTTAAAAGAATGTGGAGTTGATAGGCCTAATATGGTTGATGTGTTGTGGGATCTTGAGTATGCATTGTAGCTTCAGCACACTGCAATCCCGGAACAATTGCATGAGGGCAGCAACATGGATGTTTCCTACAACTTGACATTGCCAGTAATTCGCAGCTTGCCTTCTCACAGCATTGCTCTGAGTGAAGATGAAATTGGCTCAGATGCTAATATTGAGAGAAGTAGCACAAATCCTAGTGAGATGTTCTCTTAGCTAAGGATGGAGGATGCTTGATGATGTACAAGTGATTACATTCTAGCTTTCAGAACTGAAGTTCCATTGCAGTCTCTCAAGACAAGTAGTCAATAAAACAATAGCTTGTAAAATTACTCAGCATTGCTCTTCTTACCTTGTTGTAACCATGGAGATCCATTGCCTGTTTGAGAAATGTTTTGAATCTTTCGCGTAGTGCATTAGTAAGTTGTTCAATTTTTAAGGAATGCAAGCTGAGCTACTACCAAAAACTTATTAAGTTTAGCAATTTTTAGGAAGGGAACGAGATTCCTCATATTGGTGTTGCTATCTCTTTAACAGCTTTGTCTAGAAAGCTAGAAACTTGAATCCGACATTAATGAGTGGTACCTCATTTTTAAGATTAGTATTTATTCATATATCAGCTATCTAGTAATTGAAGTGAATTACTTCAAACTTAATTGGTATGAGTGTTTGAAATGATGTATATATATTAGGCTAAATGTACATATTGTTCAGTATGCCTTATGTAGTGCAAAAAAAAAATGATTACAAGATGTCTTAGAAGTGTGCCTATGCATCATTTTGGATAACTATTATTTTTTGTGAATAATCAGTGACCATGGAGAAATATTTTCATACAGTTGTAAATTAGTAATTGATTAATATAATACCCTTGTTCAAGAAAGATGTGAAGGTTTGACAATAAAGAAAAAAATAAAAGTAAGTGCATGCATCAAACATTAATAGTAGTTGTTATCTTACCTGTTTGAAAGTTGGACCCTATTTGTACAATAGTAGTATAGAAATTGAAGTGGATTGCTTCAAAGTTGATTGGTATTGATTGAAATTTTAATTTCTATGTGTTAGATTGAATATACATATTGTTCAATGTGCTTTACTTGTAGATAGCCTTTATTTTGTCAATGTTTTTATGTTGCGTCAGTGTGCCTTACTACCTTTTGAAATTATAGTGCATTGGCAACTAAAATCTTACCCAATAGACATAATCTAAACCAAACGAAGCTATTGGATGAAAATACAGACTCTCTCTCTTTGAGAGACTCTCTTTCTAACTTTAGAGATTTCCCTCCTCGGTGTAGGAGAGTGGGTGAAGAATAGTGCACCAAAAAGTTTGAAAGTTTCAAAAATTCAAAACCAAACACAAATCCCAATCTCAACATTTCTTTGCTTCCAATCCAGAAACATATGGTAATTCGGCAATCTTGATTGCAAACAAAGCCAGAGTAGTAGGTTAATTTATTGGAGGAGTAAATGCGGTGGACAAAACATGATCCATAAAGACATATTTATGGAGCATTAACTTGGTCAGAAGCGGGACGGTCGTTTGCTTCTTCTTCTCTTTTCTAGTCTTTTTTTGAGTTGTTTGGCTAAATTTTACTAGCTCTATACCTCAAATTTTGATGTTTTTTAATTAGGTTTCACAGATAACATAGTTTGCTCTGTCTGGTGACTTTAACACAGGTTAGTCAGCTGAACATTCAAAGCTCAGAAATAGTGCTTGATCTCTCAGGATTTGAAGACACAGCGATGGAAGAAGCCCTAGCAAGAGCTTTTCAAAGGTTTGAGTTGTCAGAAACAGAATTAAGAGGTGTGGATCTGAGCGGCGATGATATTGAAGAAGGAGTAGTGGGGTGACATGGAAGTTTGATAGGAAAGCTGGTAGGTGAAAAAGTAGCCAACTTCACAGGGATAAAGAATTTCACAAATCACGCATGAGGATATCCCAGAAAGATGAAAGTCACCGAGCTACGCCCTAATTTGTTCCAGTTCCATCTGGAGGAAGAAGAGGAAAAGAAAAAGATCTTGACAGGAGGGCCTTGGGTCATGGATAACCAGGTACTTATAGTTAAGGAATGGGTAGTGGGATGTGAAAGGAGCAACACTTTCTTCCAGCATGCTTTTCTCTGGTGGGTTGAGTTCAGATACGAACGATGCCCGGACTTCTGCTACAGATGCAGTATCATTGGGCATAGTGACAGGACATGTAATGTGGTGGGAAGGGATGGAATAGCGCAACAAGAGGAACAATATAGAGCTTGGATGAGAGCTGGGAACATAATGGGACGAATGGAATTAGAAAAAGCAACAGGAGGAAGGGAGGTGGATACTGGGAACACAAGCTGCCAAGTACAAACAGGGACACAAGAAAGGAAGATACTATAACAACTATTAGAAGAAATTATGTGGATCTGGAGGGTAAGGAAAATGAGGGTAAGGAACAAAGGATGAGAAGGCAAAATGAAGAGAGGTGGGCTGAGATATTAAAGGACCAGAGGAGTGTGGATAAGGAAGACCAAAAGGGGGAAAACATGGTAATGGTCTTAGCTGAGGGAAAAGGTAAGAAGGAACAAATGGAGAATGAAGGCACTAAGGAAAGGAGCAGATCAACACAACCTGCAAAGAATAAGGAAATGGAGGTGGAGATCACAAGAGAGAAAAGTGGAAAAAAGATGATAGGGGCAGAAAAAAATGATTGTTCAAAGTCAATGAAAGTAAGGAAAGCAGAACCTACTGATGAGGATTGCAACTCAGAAGAAAAGGGAGGCTATCTAGGACCCCTCTAACAGCAATTACAAATATAGATGAAATGAGGGAACTGGGAGGAAAAAGGAAGGCAGAAGGTTTGTTACAAGGGATACAACCAATGGAGGAGGATGATGCTATTATCCCAAAGGTAAAAGTCATGAAGTTGGAACTAATAAATGACAAAACAATTGGGAAACTGGAGGCTAACCCCCGTATGTCTCCAAAGTGTAAATGAAGGTTGTGGTGTGGAATTGTCGAAGTGCAGGAGGTCCCTTGACAATTCCCCAGCTGAAGGAAGTTTTAAACTTCCACTCTCCTAATGTGGTGTTCTTATGTGAAACAAAGAATCAGGAATGGTTCATAAGTAAGGTGCAAAGGAGGATTAGTTTTGAGAATAGTCATTTTATTAACTCAGTAGGAAGAGCAGGGGGACTAGCGTTATTCTGGAACAATGAGATAAAGATAGACCAGGTAAGAAACACATATTGGTGCATTAGTGCCTGAATTAAGGATAAGGAAACAAATAGCCACTGGTGGCTAGTGTGTGTATATGCAAGCATAGACAATAACACTAGGAAAGAACAATGGAAATATTTAGAGGATAGGATGAAGGACTGGGGGGAGGCCTGGACAATAATGGGAGATTTTAATGATCTGAGATCGAATGAGGAGAAGTGGGGAGGAAGAGATAGAGCTGAAGGAATTTTCAGAGAGTTCAACAGGTTTATAAGAGTCAATAACCTGGTTGATCTAGGATATCAAGGTGTACCATGGACATGGTGTAATAGCTGGGAGGGGGATGGTGAGGTGAAAGAGAGGTTGGACAGATGTCTATGTAGTACTGAATGGATGCAAAGATATGAGAAGGCACAGTGCAATCATGTTGAAACAGAAGCATCAAATCATCTTATGCTAATTGTTGATACTAATCTAGATAACAAAAGGGCAAAAAGGAGGTTTTACTTTGATCAAAGATGGACCAAAAATCCAGAAACAAAGAATGTGATTCAAGGAGCATGGAGGAAAGATCATTCAGGGTCCAGAATGTTCAAAGTGGCCAGGAAAATAAGGGAATGTCACATTGCTATTCTAGAATGGAGGGAAAAAGTGCAAGGAAACTCCAACGTAAGAATAAAGAAGTTAAAAGAGAAACTATCCAAGGTGAGAGAAGGGAATGGTGCTGGTAAAAGTGGACAAGTCGTTGAGCTAAAATCCCAGTTGAGTAAAGCATACAAAGAGGAAGAGCTGTATTGGAGTAAAAAATCAAGGAGCAAATGGCTCAAAGAAGAGGATAGAAATACAGCTTTCTTCTATTCAACTGTAATGGCAAAGAGGAGGAGAAACACTATTAGTACCTTGCAGAAAAATGATGGGACATGGTGCAAGAATGAACAAAAGATAGAGGAGGAATTTAGTGAGTACTACAAAGACCTCTTTGCCACCACAAACCCGGACAACTTTGAGGATATCCTAGCAGAGATACCAAGCACTATTTTTGGCCAAATGAATGAGCAGCTGATAAGACCAGTGGAGGAAAATGAGATTAGGCAAGCTTCGTTCTCCATGCATCCTAATAAAGCACCAGGGACAGATAGTATGTCTCCTCTCTTTTTTCAACACTACTGGAACATTATCAAAGTGGATATAGTGGCAGCTATAAATAGTTTCTTCCATACGGGGTATCTTCTCAAAGTTGTGAATGAAACTATTATTTCTTTGATTTCAAAAATTGATACCCCCAAATCTGTTGTGAATTACAGACAAATCAGTTTGTGCACTGTCCTATATAAAATCATTTCCAAAATCATAGCTAATAGACTGAAAAATGTTTTGCAACACTGCATTAGTAACTCTCAGTCTGCTTTTATCCCAGGCAGGCAAATTCTTGATAATGTTGTGGTAGTTCACAAAATCCTACATTTTTTGAAAAATAGGAGAAAGGGAAGGGTAGGATACCTAGCTCTTAAACTCGACATGTCAAAAGCTGACGATAGAGTTGAATGAAAATTTGTGGGGAGACTAATGATGAAAATGTGTTTTTGTCCAATTTTTGTCAGATGGATTATGACTTGTTTGTCTACAGTGTTTTACTCCTTCAATCTAAATGGACAAAAAGTAGGTAATATCCAGCCTAGTAGAGGGATTAGACAAGGTGACCCTTTATCACCATATCTGTTCATTATTTGTGCTGAAAGGCTGTCTTGTCTTATTCACAAAGCAGTGGCGAAGAAAGAACTCACTGGAATCAAAATATGCAAGGACAGCCCAACCATTTCTCACATATTTTTTGCATATGACTCTCTACTATGTTGCCAAGCAACCAAACAGGAGGCAAGGAAAGTTAAAAGCATTCTGAAAAAGTACGGCAAAGCATTAGGACAGGTAGTAAACTTTGACAAATCAGCTATTTTCTACAGCAAGAATACTACTAACCAGAGGAAGAAAGAGGTGAAGGAGGAATTGGACAACATGAAAGAGGCAAGGAATGGAATATACTTGGGGCTCCCAATGGCAATTGGAAGATCTAAGACACAAGTTTTTGGATTTGTAAAGAGAAAAATCAACAAGAAGCTTCAAGGTTGGAAACAAAAGCTACTGAGTCAATGGGGCAAGGAAATACTCATCAAATCAGTAATTATGGCAATGCCAACATATGTAATGGCTTGCTTTAGTCTCCCTAGAGGTTTATGTAGACAAATCACAGCCAAAATAGCAAGGTTCTGGTGAGGAAAGGGAGAGCAAGAGACTTGTGTACATTGGGCAAGCTGGAAGAAGCTATCAGAAGTGAAGGGAAGAGAGGGAATAGGATTTAGAGATTTAGAGGCTTTTAACACTGCCTTACTGGCAAAGCAAATTTGGAGATTTTTAACAGCTCCAAATTTGCTAGTAAGCAAGGTAATGAAGGCAAAGCACATGAAAGACTCAAACTGGATGGAAAAAAATCCCTAAAACTCAGCTTCATGGAGTTGGAAGAGTATACACAGTGCAAAATCACTACTGTTAGCTGGACTTTGGAAAAGAATTGGGGATGGCAGGTCAGTGAGTATATGGAAAGATAGATGGATAATCGGATCAGAAAAGGCAATGTGTCCGGCACAAAACCTGAGGAATGCATGTTGGAATGGGTAAATGAGCTGATAGAAGAAGGGAAATGGAAAACTGAACTACTCCAGAAGTGGTTTAGTGACAAGAATACTGAACTCATAAAAGACATCCCAACTAGCATAGGAAGAAGAAAGGATAAGCTGACCTGGGGCTACTCCAAATCTGGAATGTACACTGTGAAGACTGGCTATGCTGTAGCAAGACAGTTTGAGGCCAAACCATGCAGACTGAGAGGTCACGATGCTGAGACAAGTTAGGAAATAAGAAAGCACAGTGTGTGGAAGAAGTTATGGCATATGAAGGTGAAGGCAAAGCTTAAACACTTCATGTAGAAATGTTTGCAAAATTGTCTACTTGTCAATAAGTTGCTGTCCAAAATGCTGGGAAAAGGAGAAGGAAGATATGGCTGCTGTGGAGAAGCTGTGGAAACCATTGAGCATTTGTTTTTTTCTGTGAAAACATAGTGGAAGTATGGAAAATGGCTCCAGTCAGGTGGGATGGATTACAAGACAAGCAACAGAATCTATGGCTTTGGTAGAAGAAAGTTACTGAAACACTCTCGATGGAACAAGGACAGGATAGAGTAAACCTCACCATCAACATCCTCTAGCAAATCTGGAAAGCCAGAACAAAAAAGTTTTTGAACATACAAACTAGGAACCATACAAAACAATACGGAAGCTACAAGATGAGTGTTTAGAGTTTGAGCAGGAGAGAGAGCCAGAACAGGAAGGGATCACAGGTCAAAACAATAATGAAGTCCACTCAAGAAGGGAGCTATCAAAGGAAGATGTGATACGATTGTATACTGATGCGGCTTTATCAGGAAAATAGATCAGGACGGGACAAGGGATAATAGCAAGGAATTGGAAAGGAATGATAATGAGAGCCAAAGGAATTGTTACCCAGGGAAAGGAACAACAAGTAAAGAAGAAGCCTTGCCGTAAGGAATGCATTACTGATGGCTAAACAAGCAGGATGGACAAAAATTATGGTCCATACAAACTGCAAATCAGTAGTTGAGCAGATTAATAGATGCAGTGAGCATGATTACAGGACTGCATCTATCTTGGAAGACGTACAGGAACTTAGATTAGGCTTTAACAGATGCTCTTTTGTGTTTATTCATAGAACAGAAAATGAAATCAGCCATGCACTAGCACAATTTGCAGTAAAGCTAGTACATGACATTGAATGGGAACATGATTTCCCAATATGGCTGACTGACTTAGTAAAGAAGGATATGAGCGTAGTATCCCTTTTTTGTAACTAATCCTTATAAGATCAAGTGTTAATATCTATAAATTGTTATCGTTTGTTGGGAAAAAAAACTAAAATCTTACCTAAAGCCACTACAACCATAATAGTGGTAGATGTCTAGTTAAACTTTTGTTCAATTAGTATGTATGTACTTATAGGTAACCAAATGTAACTAGTTTTCACCAATTTGTGAAACAAAAATCTTTATTTCCTTTAAAATATTATAAAAATAGAATAAATACTTGTTTTAAGATTTTACCAATGGAAAGTCAATAAATACCAACATGGGGTACAACATCAGCATGTTACTAATTAGCAATAGAAAATAAATATGTTTTTATCAATTAATACAATAGAAGTTGTTGCTTTGGATATATCGTAAAACAGATTGAACTAACAATAAAAAATTAACAATAAATATGTTTAAAGACCAGCTAGATGTACAATATCGATAAGCAAAATCTAAAATTCATAATTTAATTTTTTATCCTCTAGTACATTGTAAAATAGATTGAACATGTGGTAATGCATTAAGAACTAAGTTTAAGTACATTCTAACAAGTGTTATTGAGTTTGACACAATAAAACTATCTAATTATCCAATCTAATTTCTTTGCCCTACCACCATTAATTGATATCCATTAATTTGTGCAAAGAAGCTGTCTTTGCCTTTGGCATGTTGCAAAATAAGGTGAACAAGATATAATGTATTAACAATTACATGCAGGGTATAGCTAATCAGATTCCAATTTGTACATCTATATGAACTCTATATAACCAACAAATAACTTTATAGTAAATTCATTCTTACATTATATGTATGAACATGATAGTGTGTAAGGCCAACAACTAATTGTAAATTCAAACAATAGGTTAACTTCTATAAATTTATAGCCACGTAAGTATACATAACATATAACACTACTTCATACCCACTAACAACACGTACACTCCACAGAAAAATGTAAATATCAATCATACCAAAGTTCTAGAATATATTCCAGCTCACATAACTACTTTTCACTATGCTATTTTCAATCTACCTTTTATAGATATACATAGTCAATTAACTAACATCTCACTGATTGTACCCTATAGATCATGTACATTTTTGTAAACTAATTAATGTAAACATTAATAAGCATTAGTAATTGTTTACACTTGTTTATAAGTTGAACCCCGACTAACTGTAGCAATCCAGTAATTGAATCCCACAGTATGAGAATTGATTGACATGAGTTTTGATTCTAATGTCTATATGTTAGGTTGAATGTACTTGTTGTTCAAAATGTCTTACTCATAATTGAATTTGCTATATCATTCTTAGAACTACTTTATATTAATTTATGAATGTTGGGAGAAAATCTTATGTAATTGAAATGTAGCTATTTATCAAAAAACTGGTGCAGATGGCATGAAGGAGATTAAGAAGTTCGACTAAGAAAGCATCTAGGGAACAAAAAAAATGAAAAATCAGGTAGCTGCAAACTTGAAACACCGTCAAAATCCTTGAATATGTAAGTTTGTTATTGTTTTTATGTTGCACCAGAATGTTGGCAGGATAGTGAGACGTGACTGTTTGATTGATTGCAATTACGAGTTGTTGAATTGGTCTCACTCTGTTTTAATTTGAATAGATAAGAGTATATGAAGTCTTAGTCATGCTGATATGTGTTGAACAAAGTAAATAGCCTTTACAATTTGCGTGAGCAGTGGTAAGATGGCACGGAAAAGGATAAAGAAGAATCCAAATGAAAAGGAAGAAATATAAAAAGTAGGAACTACTGAGCTTGCAGAACCAATCCCACCATTTATAATTAGAAAGAAAAAGAAGAAATTAACTTGAGAATAAGAAATGGAGCAAAGTGAAACTCAGTTAACAGCATTGTATAACTCTTTCACTTTCATTTTATAGATTTTTGTTATCACAATATTTGTAAATTTTCAATTTCGATTTATACAAAATTTATGTAGTGATAGGTAAGAATCCTTGTAGATATCATTGTAACCATTGTAGATTTTTGTTCAATTTGTAGATTAGTTTGAAGTATTGTATATATCTATTAGAATTGTTGTATATATTGTTATAACTAGAGTGTTCATTTAGTTTATTTTTATATGCATCATAGCTAATAAACTTAAGGATATTTGTTCAAAGATCAATTAAATGATAGAAATATACCAAAATTGACATTCCAACCACGATTCTAAGGCTTTTAGTTTGGGATTTGATAAAAACGGAAACGAGTGACACTATGATTGGGTGTTACAAATTTGCTGATGGGCAATTACTACTTTTGAGATTATAATATATTGCCAACTAAAATTTTACCTAAAACTACTATTTCCATAATAGTGATATATGACTAGTTAAATTTGTGTTTAATCAGCATGTATGTAACTTATAAATAAACAAATGTAACTAGTTTTCACCAATTTGTAAAACAAAAACTTTTATTTCCTTAAACATATCATAAAATGGACTAAACAGTTTGTAAGATGATAGCAACAAAAAGTCAATAAGTACTAACATGGGGTACAACATCGGCATGTTACTAATTAGTAATAGAAAGTAAATTTTTTTTAACCAATTGATAGAATAGAAGTTATTGCTTTGGATATATTGTAAAACAAATTGAGCTAACAATAAAAAATTAACAATAAATAGTACTTAAATACTAACTAGATGTACAATACTGATAAATAGCATCCAAAATTAGCAATTTAACATTTTTTTCCTCTAGTACATTGTAAAATAGATTGTACATGTGATAATGCATTAAGAATTAAATGTAAGTATATTCTAACAAGTGTTAGGAGTCTAGCACAATGAAACTATCTAATTATCCAATATAATTTCTTTGCTCCACCAGTATTGATTGAAATCCATTGATTTGTTAAAAGAAACTATCTTTGCTCTTCACATACTGCAAAATAAGGTGCAAAAAATATAATGTATTAACAATTACATACACGGTATAGCTAATCAAATCCCAATTTGTACACCTATATGAACTCTATGTAACCAGTGAACAACTATATGGTAAATTTATTCTTACATTATGTGTATGCATGTGACAGTGTGTAAGAGTTAACAATCAATTACAAATTTAAACAATAGACTAACTTTTGTAAATTTATGACCATGTAAGCATACATAACATATACACTACTCCGTACCCACTAACGTGTACACTCCACAAAAAAATGTTAATATCAATTATACCAAAGTTTCTAAAATACATTCCAACTCAGGTGACTACTTTTTATTGCACTGTATCTAATCTCCCTGTTACAGATATACATAGTCAAATAACAAATACCTAACATGATATACATTTTTATAAACTGATTGTATTTCA